GAGTTCGGAACAATGATATACGTGATCGCCTAGAGGTAGCACCAATTGAAGAAAAGCTTGTTCAACATCGGTTGAGGTGGTTTTGCCATGTCCAAAGGAGACCTCCAGAGGCACCAGTGCATTGTGGAGTCCTAAGTCAAGCTAATAATATGAGGAGAGATAGAGGAAGACCGAAATTGATATAGGAGAGGCAATAAAAAGAGATTTGAAAGCTTGGGATATACCTAGAGATCTATGTTTGAATAAGAGTACTTGGAAAGCAGCTATTGAAGCGCCTGAACCGTGACTTGGGGCTCTTGGTGGGTTTCAACTCTAGCCTACCCCAACTTGTTTGGGACTAAAAGGCTATGTTGTTGTTGTTATTATAATAATAATATCATAAAATTAGTGTAAGTGTATTATCATGAAAAGAATGACCTCAGCATTCCATGCTTGGGAGTGCAATTCAAACAAGTTGAATCATAGGTGGTTGCACATGTAACAACAAATTTTAGAAGAACAGCAAGGTAAAGATCATGGCTGCCATGGAACCCTTCTGCCCATTCATTCACTGCCATCAGCCAAGTATGAAACTGCTGCTGCTAAGGAATGGATGGGTCAGATGGCTTTGATGACAGTCATGAGAAACAGAAGCAACAAAAAACAAATAAGCACCCACCTCATATCTAAATCTTATGTTTTGCATCATAGGCCAAAAATAAAGCAAAAGGAAACATACTCCATTCAAAATATATTACCCAAATATAGGCCTAATGAAAAATTTTCAATTAATACTAGTTACATAAAAAATACCTAGGAATTACACCTGATTAACCACTGTAAGTGTATAGTACTGTAGTGTAAGTGTAGTATCAAGATGAGCCAAACCTTCTAACTAGACTAACAAGACAGTAAAATGGAGGCTGAAAATGACTGCGCCTCCAACTTCACCTCTGTCTTGACCTACATCCAACAAAACAAACAACACCTGAATGGTCAACCAAGGAATAAAAAAACAAAGGAAAAAAATTCAAAACATACCTGAATTCAACTAGAATGACCAAAAAACAGCAACAACCTTAACAAATTCACCACTACAAACATTGGAAAAAATAAATAATTAAAATAAAAAAATAGAATGCAGAAATTTTAAAAGGATTGCAAATTCACCAGAGAGAACTGCCTGAAACACACATACCAAAAAAACAAAAAAAACAAATATCATAAACCATAAATTTTCTATGAAAGACAAAATCACAAATATAATGAGGGAACTGCACCCAAACAAACATAAGGAAAACCAAATTTCCAATATAGATAGCTAAATAAAAAAAATGAGGTCATTATATTAAACAAACAACTTAGTACTATATAAGTAATGAAGTTTTAGCACTTAGTACTACTTACATAAATAATACCTATAAATTACACCTGATGAACAACTGTAACTGAAGTAGAACTACACTATAACTAGGATACCAATAACCAGGAAACCATTATTTAGAGCTAGAGCAGTAGCAAAATTCTAGAATATAACCAAAAAAACATAGAAGAAAACTGGAATACATTCAGAGAGAAATCGACTTACTTTTTCATCATCAGAACCACCATGGCCCAACATAATACATATCTGCATCACAAAAATATTTGCATTAGAGCCAAAATTAGCTAAAATAGGTATAGAACCACTCAAAATTTCCAGAACCAGATTAAATCAATTATAATTCTCTAGTCTGAAAACAATAGGGATAAAGCAAGCCTATCACTGTCTACAAGTTTAATATAAAGCAAGCCTTATACACAATTTACAAAAACCTATCACGCTATATACACAGAACTAATTAGTGCAAATAAAATAAAAAGGTACTCAAAAAAATTTCAACCTAAACTCACTTCGCTATCAGAATCTTGCTATCAGAATCTTTGGAGTACAAACTGGCATGTTAGTATGAGAGTCAAGAATGACGTATGAGGTAGATACAGACAGCTAAGCAAATTGCAAAACAAATAACAGATGGACCAAAATTGAAATTAAGCTAACTTATATACCAAATATAACAAATAACCAATTTTTTTCTATGGGTTTCAGATATTCATAAATGTAGTGGAATGAGTTGAATATGCCAAATTATAAACTAAATAACAGATGGACCAAATTACAATTTACATTGACATTGTCAATCACGTTTTCATATCCTTAATTTTTTTGTACTACACAAAACAAACACAAATAATAGATTCCATGAGTGAACTAAAATATATAGAAAGAATAACACAGAGTTGCTGGTACAATACATGAATAATAACAATACGTACATCTCTCAAGCATTGCTGGTACAATGTATTATTAAAACTTGAGTTGCCACTTGAAGAAGAGTCCTACAGTATGAAATTTTAATAAAAAAATTAAAACATATCATAAATCATTACTTACAAACAATTGGAAGGAAAAGCAAGGTCACACTAATATTAGAGATAAAAAAATATCAGCTACACAGAGCGAGAGGATTGGGGTTGGGGTTAAAGTGCTACAATAAAAAGACCGGTATGACAACTCCGTGCTCTATACAGAAATAACATAAACGATGGCATTACTGCCCTCTACTAAACTATTCATAATTGACAGCTCGGTACTTCTCTACTGCAAGTCAGAAAGGCATGCCAAATAAAGTCAAACAAGGCTATTGCCCAACAATGCCAGGAGGGAAAAAAGCATGCTGAGTCAAAGATATCAATTCAGTATTACCCACTTAAGCCTACATGTTGTGTGCACCAACATACAGAAGGACAAAAATCAGGAACAAATATAGTACACTTACATCACATCTGTAATCAGTTTTAGAGTTAGAGATGGAGTGATAGAGATTAGAATCAACACTTGGAAACTGCGAGCACTGAACATATTCAACATCCTGGCCTTCTAAATCATTAGAGCTCGATATCTCAACAAAACGTCAAAACCAGGACGCCTCTTCCTAGCCATCTATCAGAAATATCAAAATTCTATCATGATTACACATAGAGAAAGCCAATGGGAAAAACACTAGTAATACAAGCATCAGCACAGACATAGTGAACTACTAATTTCGAGTACTAAATAAATGATAAATACTTCATATGTCTTTTAACTATTGGACAAACAGAACAAACATTTCACAAGCAAAGTAATGATCCAAAGGAAATATACACTTCTAAAACTAATATAAACAAATACTCTAAACTAATCTAAAAAAATATTCAGTAGAATAGCCTCAAAATAACAGCAGCAAATACAGATGAATAAAGTAATCTGGAACAACAGTAATCTATGCAAGGAACTACAATAACCCCAATATATACAGCAGAATATTCGGTATGCGAACAATTCAAGCCGCGAGTGGACGAAATTTGCTCCCTTGCATTCAGTCTAAGAACTGCAACAACCCCAATATATACAGCAGAATATTTAGTATGCGAACAATTCAAGCCGTGAGTAGATGAAATTTGCTCCCTTGCATTCAGTCTAGCCGCACCCTTCATCTGCAAATTGCAATCGATGCATTTGAAGTTTCTCAGAATAGTCTGAACCTAGCAGAGTGGAGATCCTATCTTTGAGTGCATACGGTTCGTCGAGATAGTGGTGCTGCTCATGCTCAGGACAGGGAGAGATGAATGCAGCGACGCAGCAGCAGCAGCTTGGCTGGGAGGTGGGGTGCGGCAGCAACAGCTTGGCTCGGAGGCGGGGAGCGGCAACAGCAGCTTGGCTTGGAGGCGGGGCGTAGCAACCACTGGCTTAGCGCCCGCGGCAGCGGCCGCCTGGCCAAGGCGGCGCAACTTGGGCTGCCCACCGAGCATAGCGCGCGGCCGGCGGCCAATGCGACGACGCATGGCCGGCCCAGGGCGACAAGTACAGCAACCTAAAGCCTCAAATCCAACACAAATCCGACCTAAACATCAATGCCAAATGCCTGCTCGAACCCCAGAACAGACAAGGAAGCCAGAAATTCCATCCACCCCCAATCGCAGTACAGACCAAATCCTTGGAATAAACTCGAACCCTAACCTCTAGAATGAGGCAGAACACATGAGCGTACCCCAACGACAAAGATTTCATAGAATCGAAGGAAGCAAATGGAACGAACCTGGGAGACTAATCGAATCGCCTCTCACCGGGGCAGAGCATCGTGAGGAGGAAGACAATGGGGAAATGAATCAACAGCACCGAAAAGGTGGGCCCTCCAAATCAGAGATACAACCCAAACAGAATAAATAGCACGCACCAAAACACTCCGTGAACGCATAGCTTTTCTAAAACTGAAGGCTAGGATCAAGTCAAAAACAAATCAAACGATCCAGAATTCGAGTGACACAGGCAAATAGCTTTTCTGTATATCTAAGCCAGCTTGCAACTTTATTTTTATTTATTTTTGATAAAGAGCTTGCAACTTGTTTGACTATGCCCTGATTGACAACCGGCTTTTGGGGCTGCTGCTTCGCCACCGCATAAAAAATGCCGTACGCCGCGAACCTTGCCCAAGTCGCGCCTCCCTCCTCACAACTGGGCACGGCGAGGCCATCTTGCTCAGCCACGACGGCCGCGCCGGCCGTCCCCCTCTGCCTCCACGTTCCTGCCACGACGAGGCCGAGGTCGACCAGGCTGCTGCTGCGCGCGAGGACGTGCTTCGACGGTTACCAGCTGGAGCAGGTGAGCAGGGACGGGCCCTGCTGCTCCTCCCTCATCCCTTAGCCTCGCGCAGGGCGACCAGCAACTCTCGACGCCGCGCCGGCGGCGACACTGGCTCGGTCAGCCTCCGCCTCCGCCAGATCCGCTGCCATCCCCCTTCCCTCTGTGTACTTGCTGACATGTGGGTCCGGTAAAAAACACCTCAGCTTTTTTTGATAGCAGCTTCTTTACGCGTGGGCAGTTAGAAAACTCAGCTAGCTTGTACAAGAGCTTATAGTCATTTTGGTTTTGGTCATCTCAAAAGTCCTGGCTCAGTTTCCAGATCCATTTGGTTACTTCTTCCCAAGCAGGGTTCATCATGGAGGCACTGATTTCAGCAGTTGCAGGTGAACTTGTCAGCCGGTTCATCTCTTTCGTGGCACAGAACTTCTGCGATCGTACGCTGAATGAGGATGACCATACAAGGTTGGAGCACGTCCTGCTAAGGACTCATACCATCGTTGAGGAAGCAGAGGGGCGGTGCATCACAAATCGAGGAATGCTGCTACAGCTGAAGATGCTCATGGAGGGCATGTACGAAGGGCACTACGTTCTTGACAGGTTCAAGATTCAGTCTGCTGAAGAAGGCGAGGTGAGCCATCAGAATCGAAAGTTTGACATATCTATTCTTACCGCTGCCAAGCGCCTTCGTTTTACTTCTGCTACCACAAAGGGCACACCAGTAACTTTTGGTACCGGGAGCACCGCAAGCCTGAAAGGAGTTCTTGACAGTTTAGAAGCAAAGATTCAGGATATGAGGGAGTTCGTCATGCTACTTGGCAGCTGCCCACGCCTGCCTCGTCAGCCATACTGTACATATCTGTTCATGGACAAGTGCATGTTTGGTCGCCACGCCGAGAAAGAGCATGTCATCAATTTATGATACTCATGATGACTGCCCAAATCTTTGCATCCTTCCGATCATCGGTCCGCACCGAGTTGGGAAGAAAACCCTTGTGCAACATGCAGTGCCGGTCCTAGGATTTTTAGGGCCCTCTGACGAACTCGTCACGACGGCCCCTCTCGATAAATGTTTCTTAGTTAATATTTTAAAATTCTAACACCTGACCTAAATTACAAGAAAAAAATGACTATATGAGTACAAAGTACTAGACAAAAATTGAATAAGGAAAAAAACCTAGGGCCTAGACAATTTGGACATGAACTTATTCAGAACCAAGATTCACAAATCACAAAAAGGGCAGAAGGCAATAATCAAGATCAGATGTCGTCGTCTTCGTCGAGCCCTGCCTCAGCTGCCTGGTCACCGTCATCGTCTGGCTTCTGGAAGACTGGAACTCGGGCATCGGTGTCTCGGTGATCTGTGTTGGTGATCGCGTGGTGAACTGGTGATCGGCGCTGCTGTCTCTCGCAGTCTCGCGTCTCGCCGTCTCGCCAGAAGTCCAGAAGTCGCGACTCAAGATCGCTATGTGCGCGTGTGTGGGTGTTGGCGGCTCGGCTCCTTGCCTCCTGGAAAGAAAAAGGCCGACGACTCCTTTTGCTAATGGGCCGCTGCATCTTCTCATTAATTCTAATGGACTATAGCTAAAGGGTACGAAGTATTATATACTTCGGCTTGGGCCCCCATCCCGCGAGGGCCCTCGGCCGTCGCACCTCCTGGCCCACCCTTAGGGCCGGCACTGGCAACATGCTTGCAAGGATGATAGGGTACGTGATTTCTTCTCCGAGATATCCTTCTTCAAAGGGGATGATCTAGAGAACGGAGAATTCGCAGCGAGTTTAAAGGCTGCCTCCGGGAAGAAGTGCTTGTTTGTTGTTGAGTTCAGTTGGAATGTGGATGAGGCAGCATGGGCAGACCTCAAATCCTCTTTTCAGGAGGTGGCGGGTCATGGAAGTAAAGTTGTTGTGATAGGAAGAACTCATGAAGTTGCTAAATTTGGGACAACAATGCAAACCATTGATGAAACTTGAAGTGAGTACTGGTCAGGAGGTGCCTTCGGAAGCATGGATCCTCATGAGCATCCGAAACTTGCATCTCTGGGCATGCAGCTGGCTGCTGAATTAAAAGGCTCATTCCTGGGTGCAAACATACTTGGTGAGATGTTAAGGTCCAATCCTAACTCTCAGTTCTGGCGCGCCATCCTGTCAAGCGTAAGAGCGCTGGTACAGGAACACATGTTTTCCCTTGGAGTACACCCTGAAGACCTCCTTGAGAGAAATGTTCCTGTTGGTTTCTCTAACGTTTCCTTTGTGGGTGCTCAGAGTCAGGGGTGTCTGGTGTATGATCTCAGGGAGGCTGGCCCTGGACAAGAAGAGCTACCATTGCCGACGTCGCGAGAAGTACTGACGGGTGTCAAGGTTCCTGCTGAGGACAAGTTTGATGTGCTGGTATGGAAATCTCGCATCCCACCTTACTGCAGCTACATAGTTACCTATGAGAGACAGAAGGCGCCCCAGCGCATAGTTGGCAAGAAGAATCGTCTGGCTCTGACAGAAATATCATCGTAGTTGTTCGCTGGCAAACAGATTTCTCAGAAAGGTGCATGTTGCATGCATCCTCAGGCATTTTAGTTCTCGAGATTGTCTGCTGCTGTATGATCTCAAGGGTAGCCCAGGCATGTCCATAGCGAGCTGCTCAGATTAACATCAAAATGCCATTGGTGAATGGTTGGAATTGGAAGTTTTCTTGTGATAGGAGGCTTCATATGCCAGCATGGAAGTTTGTACTCTCTACGTTCCCCCCCTTTCTACCTCTGTGACTGTGAAGCCAAAGCTCAGGTCATCAGGCGTATGCCTAGAATCACCTGGTAGTTAACCAGCTCTAAGCATGATCTTGTTTGGAGAAGAAACATATTGCTGTAACTGTAACTGCATTGTGAACTGCGTATCAGTGCCCACTGTGGCCTCTTAGGCTGCTCTTGTTGTTAGCATTCTGGATGCCTAAAATACACTCCAATGCCTTGTACGAAGAACACGTTGCAGTATGTAACCTCTCCCAACCTTTTGCTGTTGCTGTTGTCTGTACATCTTTTGTTGTTTTTTTTTTTTTTTTAGCAACGTACATCTTTTGTATTCGACTCTACCTGTGCACAAATACTGCAAAACCGGCCTAGCTGTAACTTCAACTTGGGCCAGGATTGGAAAGTTGTGGGATCCCAATGTCGCATCATGGAACGGGCCCAACCGGTCTATGCTCCTGGTCTCGTCGAATGCTTTGCTGGAGACGTAATGCTTACGGCGAAGAACAATAGAAGTGTATTTTATACCAACAAACCTATTGTTAACGGAATGGCCATGTTCGCTTCTCTTATATCATTTTTTTTCAGTTCAGTGTTTTTCTCTCATAATAAATCAGCCAGAATATTATTTCGGTTTATTTTTTCAACGAAGCGAACGGGGTAAATATATGAAATATTGATCCGTATGAAGTCATCTAATCATGACAACCAAACCAAGCAAAAAAGTACTAGTAGAAGATTAAAAGCAGGTGTTGATGCAATGTGGTGCGGCGATGGCTGTGACGTCAGACCCACGTTTAAACTTTGTGCTGGGAGATTGATAGTGTTTGATCATGTCAGCAACGAGCATATCGGGAAATGAAATTAAATAAAGATGCCATGATTACCGAGCAAGTGATGACCAGTGGATAACTTTTTTAAATATATATAATTCCACCCTTTGTTTAAAATTATAGACTCTGTACCAAGTCAAACTTCTCTAGTTTTCAAATAAATGCACCATCAAGAATTCAAGATATTTCATGAAGAATTAAGTGAAACTGTTTTGATGTTGTATGTGTTGCCGCATTTTTCTAAGGCCTGTCTCATTGGAGTTTCATTTTCAATTAATGCTACGCCACATCGTCAAATCTGCTGAGTTGGCAAGGTATTTATGAGGAGAGAAAAAAAAATTCATCGGGACAATGAAACCCACTGGACACTGTTCTCCTGACGCATGGGTGAACCTGGTGCTATCTTCAGTTAGGGCGTGTTTAGTTTCTCCAGAATCCAAAATTTAGTACTATACAAAAAGAAGATTCCCAATCATATTAAATTTACGGTACATGCATGGAGTATTAAATGTTGATGAAATCAAAAACTAATTGCATAGTTTGGTTGTACTTTGCGAGACGAATGTTTTGAGCCTAATTAATCAACGTTTGGACAATTATTACCAAATACAAATAAAATACTACAGTAGTTACTGTGGGTACAGTAACTTTGCCGACACCAAATTCGGGCGCAACTGAATGCCTTAATCTCATGTGAACCTGACATTTCTAGTGTGGGAACGTGCTCTCACGTATGGATAAAAATTTGGATGTGAAAGCTAACTGTAGTTGTCCTTATTACTGGTGTATGTGTGAACGAAAGTTCTAGTGTGAAACCTTCGTTGACGTCCATATACAGGCCTCGTTTAGATTGGGGTTAGGAATCAGTATTTGACACTATAGCACTTTCGTTTGTATTTGACAATTATTGTTTAATCATGGCCTAACTAGGCTCAAAAGATTTGTCTCGTAATTTACAATCAAACATTGTAATTAGTTATTTTTTTATCTACATTTAATACTCCATGTATGGTCCAAAGATTTGATATGATAGAGAGAGAGTGAAAAAACTTGCAATCTAAACAAGGCCATAATATGAGATATATTTTATTTTATATGATTATTTGTCGGCATGAGATATACTGTAGCTCTAAAGTGACTATATTTAGTTTAGATATATTTTAAAATGGCTACATAGTTTACATAGCACATATGATATGTCGGGGACCAATACTATAGTACCCGAAGAGGAGGAGCTAGTAACCATCAACGTTGATTCATCCGAGCGGTCAAGAGTGCGACCACACCTCTTGATGGGCTCCGCCTCGTCCGACCACCAAGTCCATGGGCTCCGCCTCGTCCGGCCCCCGAGGGTTAGGCTCTGCCTCGTCCGACCCTCGAGGGTGGCTTCGCCTCGCCCGATGTCTGAGGGCTAGCTCCGCCTCGTCCGACCCCGAGGATTGGGCTCCGCCTTGCCCGACGTCTGAGGGCTAGCTCCGCCTCGTCCGACCCCGAGGATTGGGCTCCGCCTTGCCCCGTCTTGCTTGACGTCTGAGGGCTGGCTCCGCCTCACCCGATCCCTCGGGCATGGATCCTAACGGAAGCTCACGACAACCACTACGGTCCAGAAAAGTACAACCCAAGGTCAAAGTTCTGGCATCGTGTAGGGAGTGGTCACGTCTCAACACGACCCGTCCCCACGACATATCATTCCAGGGAACTCACATCGCCCTACGGTGGACGGGGCGCGCGGTCACTATGCGTCGCCCCTCCATGTGACGGTCACCGATCAAGATGTTGGTTCATGGCGCGCGCCCGGCGGGCGGAGTGGGGGACATGACGACCACGACAATGCTGTGGCATCGCCCTATCGGTCAAGCGAGCACCGGCGTGGAGCTGTCCCTGTCGCCACCTGCGTGTCAGTGGGGCCCGCACAGAGGAAAAGAAAGGCCCGGCGACCCTGAAGGACTTCCTCTACCTCTCGTTCTCCATTTTTCTCCCATTGTAACCCATGCTTTTCCTTGGCCTATAAAAGAGAAAGCAGGGCATCCTATTAAGGGGCTTCGGTTCACCGCACCGCATCATACCAAAACCACTAGCATCGAACCTCGAACACATAGCCGAGTAGCTACCGAGCTCTCGGCACCCATTCATTCTTTCCACCAGAGACTTGGGACCCGTCCCTCTCTCGCCTGTTTGTAACCCCTACTACGAACTTTTCAGTGCTAGTAACACAAGCAGCAACAACGAACTGGACGTATGGACATTCCGCCCAAACCAGTATAAACCTCGTGTCTTCTTAGCACACCATCCGAGCCAGACGCGCAATAATACAAAATTACTCGTTGGTGTTTACTCGAAACACCGACAGGATCATAACATCATGCATACATTAACTGCTGCAACTTGTCTTGAAAAAGGTGAAATGAAACCTCCCACTAAGAAACACAGTTTCATTTCTCAATCTAAGAGCTGACATGGCAGTCTTGGAAACTGAAAAATAAAACCCACCACTAAGACTGGTCTAAGTTAGTTAAGTTAGAGGAACCTGATTTAAGACAAAGCCAATGTGACACTAATAATTTGAAACGAAGGGAGGGTTTGAATTTCATTTTCTTTTTTTCCAAAAAAAAAGAAACACAGCTTGTGTTTGATGTGCTAGGATGCGGATGTATCTCGTCTTTTACTAATTTACTAGGAGTAGTATATTTCTTTTGTAGAAAAAAATTAGTACTACCTTCGTCCAAAAATATAAGTGCATAGACAAAATCCCTTACAATTTTTGACAAAGGCAGTAACAAATTATCTTAACTCATAATACGATGGTTCTAGCTAATTGGGTTTAACATCCAAATCTGGACAATAAAACTACAGCGCTTGGGAGGAACTATGTGATTTTGTATACTAGGAAGAAAACGACCTCCTAATGTGCTATCTTAAAGGAGGCTCAACAAAGAAAAAATGTGCTATCTTAAAGCCTTAGATGATAGTAGAGGTGTAAATCCACACACCCCTAGCAAGCAAGTGAGCCAGATTTATAGTTCATAAATAGAGTATTACCAGTTGATGTGATCTTTCTAAGGAACTCCTTGAGTAACATGTTTATTAACGGATGGACTAGATAGGTTCATGAAGAAACTCTCTTTGTGGTTTATATATCCAGAACACTATCCAACCATAGTGCTCTTTCAGTCTCAATCTTACGTGTGCCCACATCAACATCCAAAAGATTTTCTTTTGTGGGCAGGTCTTAGTGACGTTGAACCTTTAGTTCTCATCCAGTAGACCGAGCTAACACATCAGCCTGCTCCTTTCACCTTTTTCCTAGCTCACTCAGATAATATTTCTTCATGTATACTCGTAAGCTTGCACTGTGCCTACAAAATTAGGGTCTATTTGATCCATTAGCTGATAATAGTTAGCTAGCTAAAAGGTCACAAACTATTATTAGCTGCTATTAGCTACTTTGGTTCAAGTAGTGAAATAGTTGTTAGTTAAGTATTCAATTAACAATTAGCTAAACTATTAGTAAGACCGGGCCTTAATTCATGCAAAATTATGTTCAGGGCCAGTAGGGGTGTGACTACGACATTCACCTATGGGTATATATGTAAACTACACCTTCCAATCTAATTATAGGTACTTCATCATACGTCAAACTTCTTTTAACTTCGGCTAAGTTTTAGAAAAATATTAACATTTACGAGTTCATATAAATATACTATGGAGACATATTTCATCGAAAATTTAATGAAACTCATTTTGTGTTACATGCTATATCTTTCTATAAAATTTAGAACGTAGGAAACAATAACTATTCGACAAGCATGGTCCACATTCGGATTGACCATAGTACCTGTCGCTATAGGTTCAAACAACAGAAGTAATCCCAATTCATTCAGACGATTCAAAAAGATAACAGTGTCAAATTCATATCATATTCCTCTATATTTTTCTTTCTGCTTGTAGATAGATTATAATTAGATTATTTCTAATATATTATTGGGAAAAAAAGAACACTAGTGCCAACGGAAAGCACAGAATCATGGATACCCATCACAACATTTTGTTTAAAAATTGTAGTGAGGAATCACAAAGGGGAAAAAAGCTCCTTTGAAAGTTTATCTGTAACGTCAACACCGGTTCTTCAAAGAGTGTCATTCTCACTTCCAGAGAAGTCAAATATTTTCTACTTTTCCAAATATATATAATAGATTATTAATATTTATGGTACATAATAAGTATTATTGGATTAATTATTGAATATATTTTTATAATAAACTTATTTGGAGATATAAATGTTAAAAATATTTTATATAAATCTAATCACATTATTTAAGAAAGTTTTACCTATAAATTTTTTTAGACCGAGAGAGAGTAAAAGGAAGACATGACAAGCGACATGCCTACTAGGGAATCTCATCACTTGCGGTTCCGGTGGACCCAGTCAGAGATTCATTACATATCCAACCAAGTTCTTCCCTCACTCACATCATATCAACCATTTTTCCAATTATTCGCAAAATAAAAAACCTTTTTTTTTCCAATGGGAACTTGTATGGATATGGATTGGTTCAATCCGCATTTTAGATAGAAGCCATGACGAAGGTCGTCAGTGAAGTCAACATCGAGGGCATCTTGGTCTTTCTTGTTCACCCAGCACCTCCTTCGTCCATTATTGCTGTACAATACTATTGCAACCACAAATTGATAATGACAGGAACACAAAGTTACAAGGAACTGTGCAAGTGCAACTTGTTTTCAAGGATTTGGATCCTTGTCTATACAAGGATTTGGAAACATGTAGGAGAAATTCTAGCTATCTTCCTAGCAATTTCATAGTCACTTTCAAAAGTGTTGAAGTCCATGTATGTAATTGATTGGAGTAGACGAATAGATGACTATATATCCCCTAAAGAAAAAGGATGAATATATCTTCTTATATAAAATGTGCCCGAATTCAACAAACTATTCTGCTCCCTGCTGGTAGCTCACGTAGTCACATGTCACTAGTGATTTAAGGATTTCGATCTCTGTGAGCAAAAATGGTTTAGCAGTAATTTTCTATAAACATATATAGATAAATCAAGTCAATTTTTAAGAAACTTTTTTATTTCTTTGATGCAACGTCAAGCAAATTATTGGCAAGCATATTCCATGAAAAATTCCAGATTAGTAGAGTCCCATGCAAATTCTAAGGGAACTTGTTGCACGCGTACAAATCACTAGCAATTTATCACAATATATAGTACAAAGTTTGAAAAAGGCAAGGACGACGACCTAATAACACCAAGGTGCCATGTACTCTATGTCATCAGGCTTTGTGACTAACTTTAACTACAATACATGTGTGCCATATGAAAGCAACTTCATACCTAATGCCGTGCTTTTTGAGCCAGCAGTGAAGTTCCGTACCTTTTTTTTCTCCACTCCACATCGATCAACAAGACAAATGTTCCACATGTTCTCCGGATTCATGCACATAAGTTGTTAGTATAACTATCATGATAAACAAACAGAAACCTTAACATGTTTGCTACAACAACGGAAACACATAGACAGAAAAATCTGATTATTATGACATTTAATCTGACAGTAGTGTGATACTAGATGCAATGTAATGTTCAAAATTCTTATAGCTAGTCGCAACATACCTTTTCTTTCTCGTGACTGCAAATTTATATCTCTTTGACCGTAAATCTAAGTGTGCGTACATATATGAGTGTCCATACTATACTCCCTCTGGCCGCCCTCTCCTCAAAAAAACAAATGCTAGTTTTTGGATAGGTCAAATGGTCAAGTTTATAAAAAAAATATCAACATTTATATCTTCAAATAGGTTTACTACGAAAATATAGTTCATAACTAATTTGATGATGCTTATTCCGTATTATAAATGTTAGTAATTTTTTATATAGATTTGGTCAACTAAAATTGTTTAACTTTTGGGAAGTGATAATTGCATTTTTTTTTTGACAGAAGGGAGTAATTTGCAAAAAAGAATCTACAACTCCAAAAGGATTGAAATTACCCAAAAAAAAAGAAAGATCCAGGTTGCTAAACGTGCACACATGAGAACGGTTTGCGAAGCCAAAACAACTCATTAAACCGAAGCCATTTTTATCTAGAACCGAAGCAAAAAAAAACATGATTTTTTTGGCTTTACTATCTTTAGAGGAGCTTAAACACTTGTCAAAGAGATGTTTTCTCTTGCCTCCTTTCCTCGAGCTGTCGAGCAGCAGGGAGGAACAGGAACAGCATCGTTCCAGAAGACACAAAACGGTAGGCTTCCCACTTGCGAGTGTGTGACCCTATCCACTTCGCACCTGCCCGGCTTCCTCCGTACACCGCGTCCACGGAAGCTGCCCACTGACTCGATTGGCCCACACCAACTGGTCCACAAAGGACGGAGCCCACAGGAAAAATTCTCAGGAAACCCCTGGACCTCCCCAAACATTCCTGCCGTCCTACGAGCCGCATCGTATTTCCAACAGGAGTCCTTCGCCCCCGGCGCCCGGCGCCCGCTGCCCGCACGACCCTTAAAGCTCCATTGTTCCCCCGCCTCGCCTCCTTCCACTTCGAGCACACACACTCCCACGCCCGCGCGCGGCCCCACTGCAGTGCCGACCCTTGGTTCCGTAGAGCGCGCGCCGCGGCGGGAGAAGCCCTAGCCCCGGAGGAGGACGGTGCGCGACAGCGCGGTGCCCCCAGCGATGGCGGCGGCGGGGGATGGCGGTGGTGGGCCCGAGGAGGGCGTCGGCGAGAGCTCGTCCCCGCCTCGCGACCCCGTGCCCGCGCCCGCGCCCGCTGCCTCCGGCGGGAGCGGTGGCGGCTGCCGCGGCGGGGGCCTCCGCGACATCTGCCGCGAGGTGTTCGAGCGCCTCGTCAGCGATGGCCACGCGGCGGGCTCCGAGCTCCTCGCCCAGCTCGAGGCCCACTTCAATCGGCTCCCCATCAGGTGAGCCACTCGCAGACTCGCTCGTCTCGTCTCGTCTCCGCCTTCCCCTCCCATGCTCCAGCCTGCGGAGTTCGGGTGGAACGATTTGGGTGTTGTAAATGGTTGGGGGAATCCCTGGAGTTTGTGGCCGGATTCACGAAATCCGCGTCAGTTGGTATGCTTAGGGACTCATCTAGGCGTTCAGCTTTACTAGATTTATGCCAGTGGAATATCACTTGGTCCAACGACCGGTCTCGTTCAGCTCTGCTCGGTGGACTTTGAACGGTCGGTTTCCAGATTAAACTACTAAGAGCGAGCATTTGTTTATTTGACTTTGAATGGGTGTGCTCCGCTTGTCCGAGGGACGTGCTTCTGAAGTGTTTGCCTAGTATGCCTGCCATGGCTGTAGCCTTGTAATTTGATCTTTGGATTTGGTCTAACTCAGAGACTGTTGTGGGATCAGCAGTGCCATTTTGTTTATTTGACACTGATGGGTGTGTTCCACACTCCCACTTCCAGGAAGAATATTTGGTTCCTTGGAAGCCTTCTTGTTACATCTTATTTTAGACATTTTTTTCTTGCAAGTTAATGTTTCAAATTCGCTCAGTAGGGTCATCTATTATTTCATTGGTACCTCCAATACTTTATTTATTGTTATTCTTCTACTTCACTATCGCGTAGCTACAAGCTGGATGTGAATATTGACAAAGCAGAGGACGTGTTAATCCATCAGAAAGTTTTGGCAGAAGCAAAGGATCCTGATAGGCGCCCAGCGTTCGCTGTCCGTTTCCTCAGGGTAACTTTTTTTTCTTTCTTTCTGCGTTATGTGTCCTATGGGCTGGATTTTGTTTACACTCAGCAATTAGTTAAGGGCTCTGTAAAATTCTGGGTATTATGAGGAAACTGTAAGTAGAAGTCACAAGAACAAGCTAGTACTAGATATCTTTCTTTTTCCTTCCTAAAATTTCGTATTGAAAGCAATTTGAACCAGTGTATCATGGCGCAATAACCATTTTATGTAACAGTAAATCAATTTTGTCAAATGAACCATTTCGTGCTTATTTTTTTTATTAATTGATGCCTGTTTATATCTGGTATCACCAGCAAAAAGTAGAGTTAATTATTGACATTAAAACTTTGATCAAAGCTTGAAGAGGTAAATGTGGACGAGACAACTAACTCTGATGCACATGAAGAAGGGGCTGATATTGGTGAAGCTCTTTCTACCAGGTACTCATGCACAGTGCTAGTGTGGTGCTTTTGTAGTTTTGACTCTTGAGTGACCTTGACCGACAAGTTGTGTGCTGTTTCCAACCCAGCATTTACTTCCAGACTGTTTGAAGGTACAACCTATTGTTAGATTGTGATCTGAGATATACAGTGTAGCAGCAGAACATGCATAAGAACAAAGGGGAAAAATATTCACAAATTAAACAAAATGGTAACTGTTGGTTGCTTTCCATAGTTTCCTTGGATTTGGTAAGTAATGTACTTGATGTTCTAGACTAATTGTAGAAATATGCTATTGATCTCACTATTTTTCTGGTGAGTTACTGAAGTTAGAAGTGTTATTAGACGTTGAGATCATGAACCAACACACCACCAAACCATAGTTACTTAATGCAACTCTGGATTGACAGTAGCTATTTTATTTTATCACATAACTCCATGTGCTTTGTTTGCTCCCTTTTATATATCATGCTATATGTGAAATCATAGTGCTCCATGAGAATCCAAATCATTTTTATTTAGCTTAATTGTTTTTGCACACTAATTGGGCTGAGGCTTAACATGTTAACAGCTTAAGGTATATAGATAAATACAACTTTTTATATATTATTGTTTCATAGGTGGAATGGAACAATAAACATGGTACACTACAGAGGTGCATGAGTGCATCACCTCACAGTTAACTCTTATCAAATTTAGAAACTACTTTTACTTGCACTAGTTCGCGTTCACACCATGCACCCATACACACAGAACTACCACCTTTTGGTCTAATAAAGTCCCAGTGCTCAAGCCTCTTATGATTGGACTAACCTTCTCTCTGGTTATCTGCATATTTCACAGGTCAAAGACATACACACACATTCATGAGATACTATTCTCCACTAAGGACAAACCCAAGCTCCTGAGTCAGGTCAGCAATACTACAGTTATGAATGGAAACCTAAAACATCTTTACTATTTACTACTCCCTCTGTTCCAAATTATAGGACGTTTTGGCTTTTCTAGATACATTGCTTTTACTATGTATCTAGATTAGTGTATATCTAAGTGCATAACAAAAGCTACGTATCTAGAAAAGCCAAAACTTCTTATAATTTGGGATGGAGGGAGTAGTTTCTGTTTAAAAATGAGCTTGTCTATGCCTTTAATAACATTAGCTGTCTCTTATTTATCTTATGTGTAAATGCTAACAATGATTGTTACTGTGTGCGCCTTTTGATTTCCTGGGCACCACGGCGTATGTAACCATGTTTATCTTCTTGTTCTGACAGTTGTCTGCTTTGCTTTCTGACATCGGACTGAACATCAGGGAGGCACATGTGTTCTCAACAACAGATGGTTATTCTCTTGATGTTTTTGTTGTTGACGGTTGGCCCATTGAGGTAATTTTAGTTTCTTATTATGTTATGTGTCGAATTGCTTAGATGACAAAATTGTAGTGACGATGCATACTGATATCTCGTAACGTTTTACTTGATATTTTCTTTTGAACTAATGTGCTTGTGGTTATTTAGGAAAATTCAAGATTCTAAAGGATTTAGTCTTTGGATAAGTTTTAGGTTAATGCTGTTATGTGACGACTACTTTCCTCTATTGACATGGCAGTCAAATGGATCTCTAGAGTTGTCTTGCTTGAATGAGTGTGATGTCCTTATTGGGATGCACAGAAAAACAATTGATCCTATTTCTATGTGAACAACAATGATATATCACTACAATGTTTATTGTTACAAAAGAGTATTGTTGTCCTATTTCTGTATGAACATTTTTTTTTCACTGCTCAAGATGATAATTCTGCTTCATGTGAGTAGGAAACTGATGGTTTGCATAAGGCACTAGAAGCATCAATTTTGAGAAATGAGGTATGCTGCATAATCCATTCACAGCTTTACGACGTTCTTGCTGTTCAATTGGGACTCGATATATTCAATATGTACTGATCCTGCGATCCAATATCCTCAAGCTAATATCATATTTCTGGATCTTTGTAAAATAAATAAGGGTTCATGGTCTGGCTCTGAATCCTCAGCTTCCGAAAGATCGGTGCCATTCCTAGCACAGGATTGTGAAACAGATATTGACACAAAACTTCTGAAGATTGTAAAGAAGGTTGCTTCTGGATCTTGTGGGGACATGTGAGTCACTGTTACACTGCTGAGTTTAGTGGCAGATTTGTCATATCTAGTAGTGTTTTCTTCATATGATGCATGTGCTCTTGTGTGAAGGTTTCTTGGGACCTACAGTGGTGAGGAGGTTGCTGTTAAAGTTCTTAATCCTGAGAATTTGAACCAAAATGCATGGAGTGAATTTAAGCAAGAAATCTACATGTTAAGGTATTCCACATTTCTATGAATAATTGTGTATCATTGGTTTTTTTATAACATGAGGTTATCATTGTTGTGTGCACTCTTGAAGTTGTACACCTGATTATATTGTGTTCAGAAATCGATCTCTAAAAATCGGCATAAGTAGGCATGCTTTTACCTCCACCAACTTGTCTGTTGCAAGCACAAACAAAGATATATACCTAAGCCTTCACCTTCCACACTTCTTTTCAGGGAAGTTGATCATCCGAATATTGTCCGATTCATTGGTTCATGCACAAAGCCACCTCAGTTTTACATAATTACAGGTGAGGCTTCATGCAAGCAAATGCAAAATTTTAGAAAGGATAACAACTGAATTTTCTTTTGCATCAATAATCAGACTTCCAAAAGTATTTGGTACCATGACTTAAAGTGAGAAGAAGCTACTGTTGAAATACCATAGCCTTGCCTTGGGAAATTGTATTTTTCCTCTGTGATGGAGGTCGTGTTATTGTTTGCCCCTTTGAAGTATATATATGTCTTAGAGAGTTCATTTGAGGTAGTAACTTTAATATCTGTTTTTTGTCTTGCAGAGTGCATGTCTAGAGGAAGTCTGTTTGATTTCTTGCACAATGAGCATAATGTGTTGGACCTCCCAACACTTCTGAAGTTCGCACTAGATGTATGCCGAGGGATGTCCTACTTGCATCAGAAAGGCATTATCCACAGAGATTTAAAGTCAGCCAACCTTTTATTGGATAAAGATCATGTATGTACCCAATCAATGATTATTAAGTTCTTTATTGGAGCTGAGTATTTTGCAAGCAGTTGTTGTGGAAAATATTTGTGGACACGGATTATATTTTTCGTTTCTTTGCCCATATTATGGTCATGGATATGCATTTAAAAGTACTAAATATGTCAATATAAGTCATTTTATGCTCATTTCTGCAGGTTGTTAAAGTAGCAGATTTTGGTCTAGCTCGTTTTCAGGATGGAGGGGGTGCTATGACTGCTGAAACTGGGACCTATAGATGGATGGCACCTGAGGTATTAGACGCTGGAACAATTTGACTTATGTTAAAGCTAGCCAAAGTTCAAAATACAATTTATAGTGTCATCGTTTTATCTGCGCTGATGTTTTCCGAACTGGACTTATAATATATTTGAAAGTGTATATTCACAGCATGAATATTTACTACCAGTTGTGTACTAATTAATGGTTTACAAAATTGTCATATTCATATAATTTCCAACTAATAATATGGAAAAGAAATGGAAAGCCTTTAATCACTTCCATTTTTCATGTGTAGGTTATAAATCATCAGCCCTATGACAACAAAGCAGATGTATACAGTTTTGCTCTTGTACTTTGGGAGCTCATGACATCCAAGGTTTCTATGCTATCTCATATGGGATATTTACAGGCTTGCAGAACAAAAAAAAAAGTAAACAAAGTTATCAGTTATCTATACCTGTGCTTTTGCCCATTAAAATGTTGTTTTCCAATTTTCCAGATTCCATATAATACCATGAGCCCCCTCCAAGCAGCTGTTGGTGTGAGGCAGGTCGGTTCTTAGAATTTTGTGTAGCAGATTTTATCTGTTCATACACTTTCCCACTTTCAGAAGTTACTCTACTTGAAGGGGGAACAAGAGATTAATTCCCGATTTGATTTCAATGCAGCCACAAGCAGCTGTTTGAGAAAAATGCAGTTGTTAGAAACAGTATATTTTGAGATGTGCCAAGTATGTTAAATATTATGCTGACTGTACCAGGGATTGCGGCCACAAGTTCCAGAAAATGCGCATCCCAAGCTCATAAACTTGATGCAGAGATGTTGGGAAGCCATCCCGTCTGATCGCCTTTCATTTGCGGAGATCATTCCTGAACTAGAGGATATTCAAGCACAAGCGCAGGTATCACCACAAAGCCCTCGAATTCAATTTCAAATGGATCCTACTCTGGTTGGTTCTGAGAACATGCCATGCCTCACTGCTGTTAGCCTGTTACAGAGAACGTCAGGGGAGACGAGCCAGAAACAGAAGGACGACGGCCCAAGCAGTAAAGATTGATTGTTCCTCTGCACATACATGTTGACAAATTCTCTCATCTGATCACTAACAGCTGCGAAAATAGCATATCATCAGTTTTGATGCCAGAGAAAAGAACGTAGCGAGTCATTTCTAGTCAAGTTTTGTCTGCAACTCTTGGGGCCAACGGCCAACGGCCAAGCTCTTGGTATTATCCTTGCTTCACACTCTTAGGTCCCATTTTTCTTGCATAGGAGGAGGATATCTTTGAGTTGCGGCTTGATATATGTGAATATTGGAATGAGAATTTACTGCTGCTCGTCATGCAAAACTGCATGTTTGTCGGGGCTTGTGAGTTTCTTGAGTTTGCATATTGAGGTTTTCATGATTATGTCAGGTGTTACGGATGCCTGTAGGTGACTGGTTCTGGAAGCGAGGTGCCTCCATCCTCAGGTTCTCCTGGCTTCCTGCAACCACCACACTGATTGGTTCATATCAGTTGCATCTTTCCTGCAAGAACAAATGCAGTGCAATGCGCGGCGGTGTTTACAGCAGTTGAGTTTTATAACTCCTCTCTATCGGAGATGCCTCAAAAGAGCTCGAAACCTGACGACGATGGGTCCGTATCATATGATGTTCTCCGTCTTCATTTCTCAATCAAAAAAACAAAATGGGAGGAACAAGAGATACTGATTGTACCGAGGGCTGAGAGATTGTCTCTAGTTTGTTAGAGCATCTGCCTCCTTGTGTCCGTCAGTCGAACACTTGTAGTTAGTGATAAGGACAAAATGGAATTCAAATCGTGCTGGCTGTTTCGGATTGGATAGAAAATTCCACCAGGAGCCAGTGTTTACTTTGTAGCAGCAGCAGCATCTTCCTGAATAGTGTTGAGCCTAAGGAGAAGAAGGGGCCAGGCTAGGATGTTTTCAGTGGTGCTCGCCAGCATGGGAGAACATAACACACAGTGTTCAAGCATTGTTAACAACAATCACTTTGGACTAATTACTTGGTAAACATTTTTTTTGGCAAGAAATGATTCCATGATTTTTAGCATGAGTACTATACAACGACATCAATGGTTCGATCTTCTAGACCCACGCTCCGCCCTCCGGGGTACCGAGATTCAAATTGGCGATCAACTACATTTTTTTGAAGGTCACCGCGGGGAGAGGATCTCCACCTGAATTTTATTCATCATAACCCGCCTTTAAGGCGTTGGATTTTACAAATTACACCGTTTTCTTTGTATAGTAGAGATAGATTGATTACATTACACATTTACACTTGGAATCGTTGCATTCTCAGCTCTGAAAACCACTCCATTCCTACGCTTCCAAAGTTGCCAATGAGGGTGCTGACATCAATGGAAACATCAAAGTAGCCATCAGCATGGCGGCAGGCACGATGTGTGATCTGGAGTACCTAGCAAATCAATACTAGTATATAAAAACATCAACAATTGGTCTTGTGTTCTCCACACTCCTCTGCGTCCGGGCGTGTGGTGGCCGCAAGCGTTTTTCTGCGTCCCGTACGTACTCCCGTTGCACCGTGCGTGCTCCTTCCATCCAATACACACACACACACTGTCCAGTCTGCCGCCGGGCCCGGGGGCCATCGGCCATGGCCACCGCCGTTTCCAACGACGACGCCAGTAAGCTCACCGTCGTCGTCCTCGGCCCGGGCGCGGTGGGCGCCGCTGCCGCCGCCGCCAGCGCAGTTTCTGCCGCAACCAAGCCTCCGCCGCCGTCGGCGCGGCACGTGCAGTGGCTGCGCGCCGCGGTGCTGGGCGCGAGCGACGGCCTGGTGTCGACGGCGGCGCTCATGCTGGGCGTGGGCGCCGCGCGTCCGGGCGACGCCGACGCCGACGACCTGCGCGGCGGGGGCGGGGTCCTCCTCGCGGGGCTCGCGGGCCTCGTCGCTGGCGCCTGCAGCATGGCCATCGGCGAGTACGTGTCCGTGCACGCGCAGCTGGACGTCGAGCTGGCCGAGCTCAAGCGCGCGGCCGAGGAGGAGGTGGAGGAGGCGGCGGCGGGTGACGGAGCTCCAGTGGACCAGACCGCGGGCCTCTCGAGCCCGGCCCAGGCGGCGGCGGCCTCCGCGGTGTCGTTCGCGGCCGGGGCGGCCGTCCCGCTGCTCGCGGCGTGGTTCGTCACGGGATACAGGGTGCGGGTGGCGGTGGTCGTGGCGACGGCGGCCGCCACGCTGGCGGTCTTCGGCTGGCTAGGGGCCGTGCTGGGCCGGGCACCCGGTGGACGGGCCGGGCTGAGAGCCGTGGTGGGAGGCCTGGTGGCCATGGGGATCACGTATGGGCTCATGAAGCTGTTCAGGATCCATGGAGTTTGATGGGCCCGAAATATCAGTGGATCTCACTTCGCTGATTTAGCACCCCAGTGAATGTTCGCCACCACTGCCGTGCTGCGCATGCCGCCACCGCCAAAGCTGGCTTGCCTCCCACACATACAGTTGTAAAATCCGTGATTCTCTATGCTATTTATGTGTTCGTGATGTTAACTAAGCGGGTTTGATTAAATTATAATACATGTTTTGACTTTTCTAAATACATTACTCTATTATATATTTAGACATAGTGTAGATCTAAGTGCATAGATAAATCTTCATATGTAAAAAAAACTAAAATGTTCTATAATTTGGAATGGAGGGAGTAGAGTCTATATCTCTATGACCTCTATGTTTACTATGAGTACAATCTCACTTTAAAACCCTGGTCCGCTTTAGAATCTACGATTTTGATAAAAAACATTGCTCCCACAATCTCCATATAAAGACCTCCAGACGTGCACATAGCCGCTGATATCCATCGCCACAACAGGATCACATTTAGAATAGGATAGCAACGTTATTAACATCCGGATGTTATTGTTGGAATATAAATGAATTGGCCATGAGCTTAATCTTTTGGGTTAAATTGATCGATGCATGTAACTCAATATGGTACAAGATCTAGAGGTCTTGGTTCGAATTCGAATCCTAATTAGTGCAATTAAATTAAATAATTGTTGCTCGCTCCTATTTCACATTCGATAAGGCCCGAGGGGAGTGTTGGAATATAAGTGAATTGTCAATCAAGATTTTAGGTTGAATTGATCGGTGCATGCAACTGAATAGTTATTTGATGGCACAATAGTCATTTTGGTCCTCAAATATTACTCAAGGTTCAGTTTCATTCTGAACTATCAAAACGGTCATTTTAGCCCTTAAACTCTACTATTAGGCTCAATTTCATCGAAGAACTATGAAGATGATCATTTCATTCCTCAAACTTTTTATTTTGGGCTCAATTTCATCCTAGAATTATAAAGATACCATTTTAGGCTTTAAACTTTACATTTTCGGTCTTTAAACTTTTATTTTCAAACTCAACTTTGTCTATCGTCCTATGTGGAGCATTGTGCTGTTTGCACCTGGTCAACTTCAACACCACTAGCAATTGGAGATAAAAAAATAATATTCATCCAAAAACACTTTAGTACCCATTTGTAAGTGCATCTAGTCATTTAGTGGGTTTTGGAATATGAATACAAATGTTGAAAGTGTGATGTCCGATTTGGTGGTTGGGACGATGCTAGCTAGGGACAATAGTACCTAACGATGATCGTCCATCTCAAATCGTGAGTGGTGCCGGACAAAGGACGAAGTTGTGCCAAAATGCATTTTGATAATTCATGGATGAAATTGTGCCTAAAATATAAAAGTTTTATTTTTAGATAGATGAAATTGAGTTGAAAAATAAAAATTTAAAGATCTAAATGCACTTTGATAGTTTATGGATGAAATTGAGCCCAAAATGCAAACTTTGAGGACTAAAACGGTTATATTCATAGTTCTGGGATGAAATTGAGCCTAAAAATAGAATTTGAGGACTAAAACGGCCGGTTTGAAAGTTTATGGATGAAGCTAAGCCTCGAGTAATAATTCAGGGACCAAAATGGCTATTCTGCCTTATTTGATTATTAAAGTTTGCCTAAACCTAATCTATACATGGTGACAGCGGCGGATCCAAAAAAAAATTTAGGGGGCTGAACAACACATACCTCCGACTGTTGCTTGATCTTAAGTCTCAGCCCCTCCTATACTATAGAACACTATAGAACTTTAACTAAAAATTCATAGGAGCTCCAAGGGGTTCCACTGCTCCGGTTTGGGTAGGGGGGGGGGCCCCACCCACCGTTGGATCTGCCCCTGCATGGTGACTTGGTCTCTTGAAACTAGATATTTCAAAAGTTATTGGTCAGTGTATGCAACTCAATAATTATTTAATTATTAATGTTTATCTATAAATCATAATCTATACATGTTGATTTAGTCTCTTGAAACTAGATATTTCAAAAGTTCTAAAAGTTTAACCTTAATGTTTTCCAAAGCAATACTAGATATAGAATACGACTTCAGGTTGATGTATAATCTGCCATAAGAGCATCTCCAACGGTATTAAAAAAAATACTTCCAAAAATAGATTTTTCAACCTTTGCAAAATATATTGAGAGACAAAAAAAAAAGCTACAACTCAACAGTTTCCAAAATCTCGCATCATCAGGAACCCTAAACTATTTCTAAATTACACTAACAACTTTTATATTTTATTTCTTTCTTGTATATTTGCATCAAAACCCTACTTTTTTCCCCATGTACTTCCACCTCTAGATTGGCACACGATACGCACGCGTAATTTTACGCGCGTGGGGGAGATTTTTTCAATTGCCAAAAGATTGGAAGATGGATTTAGGAGTTGTTGAAGATGAGTTTTTTTTTCAATCTTACCAAAATTTCTAGATTGGAAGACTCTTTTGGGTACTCTCTTGAAGATGTTCTAACTCCGTAAATGAAAATAAAAATTAAAAAATACAAATAGTAACTAACCCTAATTTTTCTTATTCGAGTTCCTTTTGTACCTCGTGTTGGCCGTTTAGTAGTGCAGTTTAACCGGAACATGATAGCCTCTGTCGTGTACATAGCCGGTGCAGCTGACGACCGACAGCAGCGTCTTCTTCCTCATGTAGACCTCGACCATCCATATTAATTCCCCTCCAAGATGTCAGGGTACCTGACCCTGAAGCAGACGGCGCCGGGGTTGTCCACGCTCAAGACGGGGCAGCACGGTTGCACACGCGGGAGGCCCTCGCTGGCCAGCAGCGCCCATAGCTCCTCGCAGTCGAGCACGGCCACGGCGTCCTTCACCCACGCCATTGGCTCCTCGTCGTCCGTCCTCAGTGTCAGGGTCCAGGTGGTCACAATGAAGAGGCGGAGCGGGACCGCGGGCACGAGGTGGTGCCGTGGCCGCCGCAGCAGCAGCGCCGGTCGATGGTGACGAACCTCGCCGCCGCGCCGCCGCCGCTGCCGTCGCCGGTGCAGCATATATAGGTTCCGGAACAGGAAATACTGGATGGGACGACACTCCTCCACCGTGTCCCAGACGACGATGCCGGCGCAGTAGTCGACCCAGCACAGGAACCGGCCGGTCGCCGACGGGGACGACCTGGTGGCCCCTGTGGTGCCAGTACCTCATCGTGTCGACGAAGACCGTGTCCTCCCCTTCGCTGCAGACCTCGTCGAAGACGACGGGCGCCACCGGCCTGACCTCCCACTCGTGCCTGCCACTGCCAACGTGCAGCACGCACAGCTGGGCCGCCATATGATGGTCCCCATCACGACCGGGCGTCAACTCGAGCTGAGCCACAAGGAGCTCGCTCGTCCTCACCGCGCCGCAGGAGGCCAGTGTTCTCATGGTACAACATGCGACGGCCCAAGCAATAGAGCCTCTCCTCCTTCGTGAAAACATCGCGGGCGGGGATCTGGGTCAGCGCCGGCACTGTACATGAAGGACCCATCTTTCTTCGATCTTCCATATATAAAAAGATCGACCAGGACCCATCTACGGCTCTGTTCGGCTGATACATAAGCCAGATTTGTAATTAAATGTGATAATTATCATAAGTTCATAAATATCAATAATATAATATAAAATAAATAAATGGTTATTAATTTGTGAGAGAGAAAAATCGTAGATTCAAAGTTGAAAAATTGATAAGTCAATACGATAAGTTCAAGATATTGAACAGGCCTACTATCATCACCACGTGGAGTCCGCCAATAGGGCGCCCATGCCTCAACATGTGACTTTCTTTTGCGCTGACATGTGGGCCTCACGCCCTCTCGAGGCCCACACACGTTCACACATGACTGGCCACCTTTAAATCCTAGTCACCACAACACTTAGGGTCTGTTTGGAATAGAGGAATACAAAACATAGGAATGAGAAAAAACGCAGGAACAAGAAAACACAGGAATTAAATAAATGGGTAAAACAGAGGATTGGAAAAACACAGGAATTTCATAGGAGTTGTGTTTGGAACACAGGAATTGAAATATCTCAGGAATTTGAGGGAGCTAGAAATAAATCTAAGTGCTTAGACTAATGCACATTATTCTTTCTTATAATTAGATATTAGTAGAGATCAGACCAAGTAGGTCCAACAGATGGAGTGGACCCACATGCCAATTGTGGTTTCCTTTGCTCTCATCCACTCATTTCTTGTCTTTTTTAATGCCTCGTTTCTTATCCTCTCATCTCAGAGATGAGAATAAGATGGCAGCAAGCCAACAGCAAATCCTATTGCTTCTCCATGATTGCTGCTCCTTTCTTGCATCTCTCTTACCTTGATCCTCTTACGCGTGAGTGATGGCTGCTGTTTGCAAGCTGTGGTCGTGGCCACTGCTCCTCCAATATAAGGCTTGTCAGGATGCTAGATGGCGTATTAGGCGCGGCGGCACAAAAAATTGCTAGAACCGATGAATTTATTTTCTACCAGGCGCTAGCACTTAACCATGTGGGGAGACAATGTGGTCGGGCATCCAGCCAAGCGCGAGAAGGAGCTACTGACGCGCAGCGGTCTACCGTTGGCTCCGGATGCGATTGGGGAGGAAGATGCAAGCAAACAAGGTACTGCTAAGTGCTAATGAGGCTCCTCAAGTGATATTAACAAGGTCATAAGTCCATTCTTCACGCGCAGAAAATTTTCCAAGGGATCTAGGTGGATGTTTTATTTCCTCTACTTTGCATAGGAAAGGAAGCCTTTTCAGAGGAAAGGGATGACGGATTCCTCCATTCCAAACACAGGGTGGCGTTAGCAAAATAAAGGAATCTCATTCCTTTGAAATTCCTATGGAAAAACTCCAATCCAAACAGGCCGTTAAATCCTAGTCGCCACAACACGCTCCTCACCTTGCACGGGACGGCGGCGGCCAATGCCCCTACATTTGGGAGTCGGCAAAAGTAGAGGCCAATCATCCGGCTCTTCCCCCTCCTTCCCAAAATACTGAACCTTATATTCTCTCCGTTTCAAATTACAAATCGCTTTGACATTTTTGGTTTATCCATTTTGCTATGTATCTAGACATATTATTTATCTATATGCATAGCAAAATGAATATACCAAAAAAATTAAAGTGCAGAGGGGGTAGCATTTAATTTTTTTTTTCTCAAAATTGTAGTCATTCTCACTTTCCAATACAACATTTCTCTTCTCAAAATACTACCTCATCCGCAAAAGAATGCAATTATGGGACGTGTGCCGGTCAAAGAAGTTCAAGTTTGATCAAGTTTGTAGCAAATATTATTAGCATTTATGCCTCTAAATAAATTTATTATAAAAATATATTCTATAACTAATCTAATAGTACTTACTTTGTATCATAAATGTTTGCATTTTTTTATATAAATTTAGTCAAAGTTTAAACTTTTTGACTTCTCGAAAAACGAGAATTACATTCTTTTATGGATGGAGTACGTCTTTTTTCTTTTCCCAATACATCTCTATATGTATTCCTCTCCGTCTCTCTACTTTCTTGTTTTCTGTGCACTACACCTTTTCACTATTTCTGAATCCCTGTGTCCAAACCTAAAACGTCAAATATTTAGGGACAAAGGTAGTGTGCTCGATCGGTTTATTAAGCTACAGCATTGCTAGAACCTGTGCCGTTCCTGAAATTCCAAATTAACTTATAACCAACTGAAATTCCAAATATCAAGCAATATAAGCGTACTAGTTCAGGTTCAGGATGCTAGATGAAGATGTTTATTAGATCTGACGTAATTCCGTGAACCAAATTCAAAAAAAAATTGCTAGAAACCAGCACAAATTTCTTATTCGAATTTATTTTCTACCAGGCGCTAGCTGACTGCTTAGTACTGAAGCTTTACCGGCAAATGAGGGTTTATGTAGTGTGGACCAAAGTGGGTGCAGCGGACAACGGACAGGGACAGCAACGCCTTCTTCCTCGTGTCGACCTCGACCATCCATACCTTCCTTTCCTCGAAGCTTTCGAACTCGATCTCACCGACGCTGAAACAGACGACGTCTGGGTTGTCCAAGCTCACGACAGGGCAAGCAGGATGCACGCGCGGGAGTCCGTCGTAGCCCGGCAGCGCCCAGAGCTCCTCACAGTCGAGCGCGGCGTCCTTGACCCACGCCATTGGCCCGTCGTCCGTCCTGAGCGCCAAAGTCCAGGTGGTCACCAAGAAGGCATTGCTGGACCGCGCGCAGCAACAGCAGCGGAGGTCAATGCTGACGTACTTCAACGCGCCGACGCCGCCGCATATGTCTCGAGAATACTCGATCTCCGGGCGCCTGCCGTCCTCGTAGTGGTCCGTCCATGGAGGGGGCACCACGGGCAGCGGCACGTAACGGAGCCTGCTGGGACGCTCCTCCGCCATGTCGCAAAGGAAGACGTAGCCGTGGCTGTAGGCGACCCAGCACAGCAACCTGTCGCCGACGGGGACGACCTTATCGCCCATGTACTGGCGGTTCCACGACCACGGCCTCGGTTTGTCTCATTTGCCGCCGGCACCGTCGCCCTCGTCGACGAGGACGATGGGTACCGACGGCTTGAGCTCCCACTCGCGCCTTCCGACGTGGAGCACCACACCTCGGCCAAGAACGTGTCCACACTGCTCCACGTCAACTCGAGCTGAGCCACAAGGAGTTCGTCCTCGCTGCGTCGGAGGAGACCTGTGTTCTCCTTGCACAGCATGCGGTCGCTTGGTTACGGGCGGCGGACGCCTCCTCCCACTGAAGGGACATCGCGGGCAGGGAGTAGCTGGGACAGCGATGGCGGCCTCGTGGCAGTGCCTGCTCTGTACACGAAGCAGGCGCCCGTGTAGCGAGCATCCAAAGAGGACGGAGTCGACGTGGGCCGCCATGACTCGAAACTCCTGATCGGGAGCGAGCTCGGTGCTGCCCGTCCAGTCGTAGTAGAGGAAAGAGCTCTCGGGCGGCGGCGCGAGGCTCAAGGAGACACGGAGCTGTCCGCCACCGAAAGCGGATGTGCGGCAATCCGCCACGGTCTTGGCGTCCGGGACGATGGATTCATCCCTGCGGAAGGCGAGATAGTTCAGCATCGCCCAGCGTGGGTCGGCGGCTGCGGTCGGCGAGGCGGAGGCGGAGTCCATGTCGCCGGAACCAGCAACGAGATGACTGACGGATCGTGCGCCAACGAGAGTGGAGCGTCGGCATCTGAGAAGGCTCAAGCTCGACGCGTTCGACGGTTGGACCAACAGCCATGACCAAGCCGCCTCAGCATCTTCACACAAGGCGAAGGTAACCAATGGAGGTCACCAATGGCGGCTGCGTTGTTATCTTAGCCCTTTTTCTTTCTGGAAAAAAAAAATGAGCCCCAGCTCTGTTGAACGTCTCTTGGGCTGTAGCGCCGGAAGCCACGGACGCGTCCAGCCCATCTGAACAAACTTTTGTAGCTCTCGGCCCATCTAACTATCTTCCACAAATGATGCGTAAAGATGATCCCATCTCGATAGTCAATACAGGTCTTCAAGGAAACAAGCGACCATAAAATATGAGGAATTGCTTAGACCATCCGCAAGAGATCCATGTTCCGTTCTAGTGCACAATGCCAAAAAGAAAAAAAAAATGTTACTAATCCAAGCTTGTTAAAGAGTACGTGCAACAGAGCAGCTTCACTTTAACCTCCCATGGTCAGGTAACACATCGTCGACAGAACCAAGCTTAACCAGTAGAAGAGGGTTTTCTTTACCAAAGAACTCAAAAGTCTGAACCGAATCGATTGAGTTTCACATTTTCACTGCATGAACTTCAGTTAAACGTCTCGACTTTACACAATGTGTGTGTGTGTGTCTATATATATATATATAGAGAGAGAGAGAGAGAGAGAGAGAGAGAGAGAGAGAGAGAGAGTTCGTCACTTCCTAGCAGCTACCTAGTTTCCAAAATCATCTCAGCAGCCACCAGCAACTTAAGGATAGTCAGCTACCTTCTACTACTTATATACACAGCACGCTTTCGTCATCATACTGTATGATATGGATCTCCATCCACGGGTTTCTCCTCCAGTAGCTTGGTGCTGCAGGGATGCCCTTTGCTGCGGTTCAGAATCGATTCTCTAATCTCCTTGTACTTGTTCAGCTCCTCCAGCGCGTCCGCCGCTGTCCTTGACTGCAGAAGAGCGGAAGGCACCCCTGCAGAGCTTGATGCACTGCTGCCATGTTCCTCGGTCACTACCCTCTGGAGTGAAGGTTCTTGAGGAACCGGGGCACTAGAGCCTGGCAGTAGTAGCCTTTCCCTGAGGCCAGGGGCATTCTGTAGGATGCGCATAAGAATACCAATTGCCACATCTGGAGATCTTGTCAATGAGCCTCCTACTTCCTGAGACAGTCCTTGGTCCTCCCTGTCAGATATGTCAATCCTGGAAAATAGATGAAGATCTACATTAGCTTATGTCAAATCAAGAAGTGAATGCAAATTAACAAACATAAAAAAAGCAAAATGTCAAGAAGAGGTTGCAAAACTATTAGAAATGTTTGACTGATCCCACTGTGACTATCTATCCTTGTTAAGGGATAAACTTGATAGTAACAGGGCTGACCCCTAAGCTCCTTATACTTGTCTTTATTAGATTAACATGAGACTCTAATTATGTCCATAATTTCAGACCTCGGTATGACAGGTTTAACCTGTGATAGTAGAATAAGCTGTACCTTCTACAACCCTCTTGCTTAACTAAACATCTTAATTGCTCCTACTAGTAGTTAATGTATAGTAATATACAAGAAACAATAAGGGATGTTTATCTTGCACAAAATAGATGCTGACTTTAGAGAAATTAGCTAACTGCCCGCAATTTGGCCCACAAATTTACATTCATAGTCACAGACCAGACGAATATTAGGAAAGCTGCACAGACCACTATGTGGCTGTGGTAGAAATGATATCTAGCCCCTGTATTTGTGTAGTTCGAAAAAAACACAGGGATATAAGATTTTCATCTATAATTTCTAATTTGTAAATAACGCAGAGGCAGTAAGACTTCAGTCTGGAGCATGCAAATGACACAGGTACTAAAAGTCTAAAACTTCAGTCTGCAGTTTGTAAATGACACAGGGGCACTAAGACTTGAGTCTGTAGTTTGTAAATGACACAAGACTACAAGAGTACTAACTACTAAGACTTCTGTGTAGTTTATACTTTGTATAAATACCATAGGGATACACAAGCAGTACAAGAGTTTTTAGCCAATATTTGGTTTTATCCACAAATTCCCATATTACTTACTCTACGAAACATTGTTATAGAAGGCGGCCAACACCCAGATAACCTGCTTAGGCACCACCCTCAACCATAACACCCTACTTTCCTCGTAGCCAACGTAGGTGCCCACTTAGCAGCAACTAGGCGTGCCCTGTCACCTACCACTGGTATAGAATATTTAGATTTTTGTAGATTTATTAAGTAAGGGTATGCATGATATTTCTACTAATAGAGCATGTCTAGATGTTGGATGGTAAATCCTAGTGGCTAGTGAACATCACTAATTTCTTCCTAAAACTGCCTTGTTCCCCACTGGTACAACTGGTAAGCAAAAAAAAAGCCAGATTCAAACCAAGCTGAAACAGAGATCAGCAGGATATATTGGGCGGGCTTAATGTATAACCAGACTTGTTTTACTGGGACCGGGTTCTCCATTTCCAGGGCTTGCTCTATACCTGAACCTCATAATGCCTAACCCATATACAGTTTTGTGTTCAGAACCAAGCTAATGACACCCAAAAGTACATTGATTTTTCTCAAAAGCTATACAAGCTACCAACAAATGCTTTTGTCTATCCTCTACCCTCTTGGATGTCTAAGGGGTTTCAGCTCCTCCCATGTCCCACGTAATGTTGTTCACACGCCACCCAAGCCTCTCCAGTCTCCATGGTTTTAGAAATATGTTTCTCAATACATTAAAAGAATATATGGCATATTCCATGCCTCTATGTTTGCAAGGTAACACTTAATCTAAATGATGAAAAGTATTGCCAGAAAAATTCGATGCAACACATAGTAAGCCCCATCAATCAACAGAGACAACTGAGCAAGCACAAAAACTAAGTAATCACGGAAAGTAATAGAATAAGGGGAGAAAAGGTGATGTCATTACATCTCCAGTAGGTGCTTCATTTGAAGAACTGAAGAACAGCACTCTCTATTTATCTACTAGAGGATGGTTTCATTTGAAATAAGGGCAAAACCCAAACATCAAATGTCTAGTGATACAGACATGTCTGAACTATAAATGTTGCAGGCAACCAACAAGCATATCTTGATAATAGAGAGAATAATAGGTTCTCAAAAGTAAATCTCTCCAACACAAAACCATGATTAGAAAATGAAATGCTTATAAACAGAATCAATAATTAAATCTAACCTAATGTATAGTATGATGCACGGAACTATTCTGACTCATATAATATATATATAGATGCACCTAATAGGCTAATACCTATGTTGCTTCTAACAGCTAAACTAGTTCTGCAAATAGACAATGGTGCCCTTTTAGTGGGAAAATACTTATAGAAAGGGAAAATTTGATAACTGGACCAAATACAAAAGCAAAAGCAAGTTGGATCTGAATGAGCATTGAAATTACTCTACAATATAGGCAAAAAGCTACAGAAGCCCAATCAAGCGACCTGAACTGATTAAGATGTTTCTTGTCATCCCAATGAATGTCCTGTTTTGAATTTATCATCTCAAGAAACTAAAACATAAAAGATGACATTTCTCTATATCTGCTAGATGAAAATAATCCAGTTTTGCCTATAGAAATGTGAAATCCTATAACATGTTGTATAAATATGAAGACTTCTGCTAACATTATTGCTTCAAAGGCCTTCTGAAAACAAAGATGGTTCATGACAAAATTACCTAAGCTATGTACATCAGTAGCCACCTGGTGAATGCTACAACCAATGCCATGGCATTCCCAGAGTAAAAACAGTGTTAGGACCTACTAAACAAAAATATAGGTGTTCAAACTTTATCGTACACCTAGGTCATTTATTTACACAGAAAAAGCACATGCATTCACGAGGATATTCATGTAAAGGGGATCAAACATAAACCAAATGCAATACAACAGCAGAACAGCGATTGAAGTGATGGGTAGGTACTAGGTTAGTCTTTTCAACCAAGGCATCATGGCATAATGTCATGAACTATACATATTTTCATCAAGTGAATCAGAAAGATAACCTCCTAAGCTGATCAATGATGGTGTCTTTATCTTCCCATGCAAAAACTAACTCCCGTTCATCCAGTTCATCCATGATGAAAACTGAAAAGTTTACTGGAGGTACGAGTCAACTTTAGTCCACGAAAATACACCAAATCATCATTACCAAAAGATAAAACCTGCAGCAAGAAGCAGAACCAGAAATACATAAGTCAGAAATGAGATCCAACCATCCAATAGAAGAACCTCATAATAAAAGAAAGAATAGTATTCCTCAAGGTTCACATTTTTCTGGTAAGATCAACAAAAAACATGCAATTACCTTTTGCAAAGACTTCTTATTCTGAAACTCACTAAGCTTGACCAAATCCTTTGATACTATTGATTTATCATTGGGAGAATGTGTCAGATTCTCATTTTGAGATGAGCATTGTTGCTTATCCTTCCTACGTGGAGAAGGTGGCAGCCTGCTACCACCTCCACCAGCCATCACTGTGGGAATACTTAAAGGAGCACTCTCATATCGGAAGAAAGGATGTCTTGGGTAGCTAGAAGGCGAATGGGATGGTGATGGCGACAGAGGTGGTGATGGATAACACTCTTCATTTACTGTGTTTCTCTTCTTCTCAGATGATGATGTGTTATGTGGATGTGAGTATGCTGTCGGAGAATTATCGGTCGGCATACGTGGCTGTAGGCGTCCATGGGGTTCTGAACTCATTGGAAATGGCGATGCCGATGGTCTAACTCCATGCTCGCTGCTCGGTGCTCCAACTGTGCCGCCTGGTCATTGGAAAACATGAAGGTGGTGATGGGATAAGTCTCTGTGTTGGTTGGTCTTTGTGGGGCTGCAGCATATGGTCCTTGTGGTTGCATGGTGGTCTTGCTGCTCATCAAGAACAGCATCCTTGACTGGCATCTAGGACAGCATCTAGGACAGCATCTGTTTTAGGACAACATCTTAGCATCTAGCATCTTGACATATGCTTGGCTGACTAGCAGCCTATAAATATGTATCCCCAACCCCTTAGGTTGGCATGGTATTTATGTGAGAAATAAACCAGAAAATTGCCCTAACTCCTAGTGTCATTCTCTCTCGATGAGAGTAAGAATTCTACTACTACCAAGAGTAAGAATTCAGCGACTAACCGGTCGAATGCCATCTGAAGGTAGGGAATCGAGCTTCCTAAGAAAATCCGTTGTGGGACTTCCAACATAATCCTTTATAAGCTCAGGTGGCATCAGTGTGGATTGCTCTGGTACTGCAGCCAACTCCAGCACTGGCACATACGAAACTGACAAGCTTAAGGAACCAAGCAGAGTTTCAATCGGAGCAAATGCATAGTGTTTCATCTCTGCATCCTCTGCGCAAGTGAATGGCTCAACAAACGATGAAATCTTGTGCGAGAGGCTCAGCGGACAGATCCTTCCAGATGAATTGAGCCCCTGGAAGAGATGGTATGCTGGCAAGAGCCTGACAACAAGATATAATGACTGGAACAACACTGTCAAGGCACTGTATGCCCTCCTGTACAAGCTATGATCATGAGAAGAGCTGCTTCTGGCTTTCTTGCCACTGTTCTTGATAGCATTACCAGCTCTGCTAGTTTCATACTTTATTACCCACCTCTCAATGATCCTGCTGGCCCCGACACTGGCGTTTTTGGTATTGTCACGTTGCAGGAGGACAATGTCAATGACCAGAGGCTCAAGGTTGCTCTGTCTCCACAGGTCGAAATTCTCGAGCGCGGCAGGGCAGTCCCAGAGAGCAAGGTTGAACCACCGGTCACGCAGCTGGCTGCCAACCAGAGGCGACGATGGCGGGGAGGGCCGTGTGAAGTTACGCGACGAATCGTAGGGCGAGCGCGACTCCAGGATGATGTGGAGGCTCTTGTCAAAGAATTCAGTTATCACTTGCTCCACCATTGGCGGTTCCGACACGCCGGCAGCCGCCGCAGCCATGGTTGTGTGGCTGTCCAGACTTAAACTCAAGGGCTCAATTGAAGTCCCAAAACTTCTGAAAAACGAACTGCGCCAGCACCATGGCTAGATTGATCTTGCTCCGTGACGAAGAACCTAATCGGGCTGCAAGTGGATGGATGGACTGAATCAGTAGCACACCAGACAGCAGGGGCGGACCCAATAAATGGCATGGGTATACACCCAACAAAAAAAGAGACCGAATTTAAGTAGGCATAGTACATGTATACACTAGTGATTAGATCCGATCCGAATACAAATAACCACATAGCTCAAGTTAGGGTTCGGTGTTCAATTTTGCACAGCAGAAAGGAAAGGGAAGAGAGGGAGGTGTGGCGAACCTGGTGCGCTGGGTTCTAGTGGCCGGCAAAGGGCCCGACGAAGACCTGGGCGGCTGGGCGGCGGCGGCGGCCGCCCTAGTTATCGCGCTCCCGCACGCGAGGTGTACTGGAGAAGAGAAACAGCAAACAGGTGGGAAACCCACGAGAGCAATTCTTTCCGGGGCTGTTCCTTGCTTCTCTGCGGCGCGCTGCTGGGCCGATTCCTCTTTCTCTTTCTCTTCTTCTGCAGGTGCACGCGCATGGCTACGCTCGTTCATCAGAGAAAGCGGCCCATGACACTGGAGAAACAACATTATTCTTTCTCCGTTTTTTTTTTCTTCTACCCTTGGTTCTTCTTTTTCTTAAATTTTTTCCTGTGTTTTGTTTTGCTTCCAACTTTTTCATTATTATAAATTGTCACTAATAATTATCGCTATTTTATCAAATCCACTAGTGAAGATTTTTCTCTTCTTCTATCATTAACCTATTGTAAATTGTTATTGGTCTTTTTAACTACATGTTCTGGTTTAACTCAAGGGTTAAATTGCTATTTCACATAAATGTAACATAAGCATTTTTGTACAAAATCTGTAGCATTTTTCTGGTGATGTTAGAACAATTTCCTCGTTATGTTGGAACAAATTTCTCCTCAACATGGAACATTTTGGTTATGAAGCTGAAAAGTTTTCTTATGAGGCTACAACATTTTCCTAGTGAAGCTAGAAGATTTTCTTCAGAACCAGAACATGCTTCATACTTTTCTTCGTAAGAACATTTTGTTTTTAAGGTAGCAAATTTTTCCAGTGAGGGTACCACATTTTTCTAATTTTATTTTTTATCTCTTATTTTAAGGTACAAAAGTCCAAAAAAATCATAGTTACTATAGAACTCATTAGGATATGGCTTTAAAATGACAACTATGAAAAACGATAAGATATGGCAAGCAAACACTAGAAATCTACCCCAATCCTTCAATAACTTTATTCTTTGAAATGGCAAAACTTTCAACATGTTAGCAATTCATTTCAACAAAGTTTTCCTCAAATGAACTAGTGTCTGACGTTTCGTGCTATCAACTAATGAATTAAAGAGCCAGTGTGTATGCTCGCGTAGCTTAGCACTCAGAGATGCAGGGTTTATAATGGTTCAGCTAACGTGTCCTATGTACATAAGGATGTCTATTTGTGTTGTTGAGCACCAAGGGCTCAAAGTTTACAGTAAAGGTTACGAACAGGTGAAAATGAGAGTATAAAACCTAAGCCTAAGGGGTCAAAGGATTCGAGGAAGGTCGACAAAGAATTTTCTCTTTCATATTTATGACTATGGAGGCCATGGAAGAACCGGAGAAAGCCACGTTCTTGTGGATTCGGTTTGGTACTATGCGTAAAAAAAGCTATGACTTTCCCTATTTTGGCTTCGGACGTTTACTCTGAAATAGACATTTGGCAGGGCTTTTAATTAAGCTGTTGAAGAAGCACCGATGAAAGAGGGTCAAATTCTTTAATCGTGGTTGAAGACCACATGTGTCATTAAAAATTCTATAGAACTCTAGGTGAGCTTTGCCGATGGAGGCAGCCAAGAGAAGCTAAATTTCCGATGATGCTCCGCCTCAACATAGAAAAAAAGATCCGGCTCCTTCCAGCTTCTAGCCAAGATCCATTTTGTTCAACCCTGTATGGTAGGACTCCATTTGAAGCCAGAGTAGAAATCTCTTTGGGTGCTATACCGTTTTTTTGAAAGTGTAATGAGAATGTTGGTTGATCTCCGTGAGGGCGTCCGGACGGAAAAGGACGGGGATCGGCTCCGAAAAGAGGTGGAGCCGCCACACCCTCACTTGCCTAATCCACGTTGTCCGCGCCGCCTTCCGACGCCACGCTCCACCGCATGATGACTACAACTCCGCTCCGTTCGTAAAGGAGCTTACCCAATCCTCACGCCCGCCCTAGTTATCGCAGGCCCTCACTGCGCTGGCCTCATTCTCGGCCGTCGCGTCCCCCTCACAGCCCTCTTCAGTCTTCCCCGACCGAGCCAAGGGCACCCATGAGCGTGGCGGTGCTTTTTGTGTGGTAAATTGTCACTAATAATTATTGCTATTTTATCAAATCCACTAGTGAAGATTTTTCTTCTTCTATCATTAACCGTCTTTTTAACTACGCCGGTTTAACTCAAGGGTTAATTGCTATTTCACATAAATGTAACATAAGCATTTTGTCGGTGATGTTAGAACACACCAACATGGACGAAAAGTGAGAATCGAGCTAGAAGTTCCGCCATTTTGTTTTTTGCCCTCCCCTATGTTACATATGTATGTTTCAAGTGTTTCAGATGCTTTAGAGGTATGTTGCAAGTGTTTCATATGGATGTTGCAATGGTTGTACATGTATGTTGCAAGTGTATGTTCCAAATGTTTTAGCCGTGTTTTAGACGTATGTTGCAATTGTGTTTATCTGGATGTTTTAGCTGTTTCAGACGTATGTTACAAGTGTTTCATTAAAATGTTGCAAGTGTTTCGTTTGAATGTTACAAAAGTAGATCTAAATGTCGGTAGGAGCGATGTTGCAGAGAAGATGAGATAAGACGGGTGCCTAGAGCGCTTGGACCTGGTGGCGACCTCAGATTCTGCCATGGCCTTGCGACCTGGTGTCGGCGTTGGACTCCATCAGCGCCAGCTCCTGCCTGGATGCGTCCACGGCGGCCACGCGGTCGGCGTGCTCCTCCACCTCTAGCGCCGCCAGCGAGGTGAGCTGTCTAACGATGGACCGCCCTCCTCTTCCCCAACGGCTCGTCGTGCGCTCCGTGCTGCTTTCGACACCGGCCGTTGGTCATCCTTGCAGCGTTGGCGTTGGCATTGGAGTGGGAGTCATCAAGGGTGCTGTGTCCGGACACAGGCACAGGCGTGGGATGAGGACAAGGGCTGGCACGAAATGGAAGGCAGGCGTAGGCTCAGGATGGGATGCAGGGGAAGCCATATGGTTGGGAGCTGAGTCCAGACTGCCCCGTTCGTTTCGCTGAAAAGACAGGTTGAAAAATATTATTCGTTAATTTATTATGAGAGAAAAATACTATACCATGATTGATAAGTTCAAGCGAACACAGCCACTCAGCGACCTGCTGGCTGCTGCTATCTTCCTTTGGCGAAGCCGTTGATGCAGCAAAAAAGAGAACAAAACACAGATGCCAGCATGAGCTAACACGGCATGCCGGATCGGGAGGGCCGTGAAGCCAAGCTAGAATAGGCTCAGGTTTGTTCTCTTTACAGTTCACTCATAATATAGTTTTCCTCACAGAAAAGCTAATTGATAATACGTTTTCTCACAAAACAGCACATAAAAGAGCAAGATTGACACCAGATTCACTCATCAACTTATCCATGCACAGTCCAAAGAAACACACATGTGCAAAGGAAATCTGTTGTTTTATTCCAAGATCTACGAGCTCAGACACTTTCCAAAGGTGTCCAGGTAATGCAAATTCGATTCACTTTGTCAGAAGTCGCTTAGTGTCATCATTTGGAACGCTTTGAAAGTAGCATCGCATATATCATTTGAGCTTCTTAAAGAGTTTTGTTGCTACCTGCAGATGCATGTTTCATAGAAAATTGGTTATTATCTAGCTTGATTCTACAACTAATTTTAAAAAATGGTAAAGTGCAAGCTGGAATCCAGTACTTACACATTTGTCGATGCATGACCAGTAATCAAAATATTGCCCAGTGCAATGTTTGTGGCCAGTATCATCACTCTCGACTCTCTTGACACATTTCTGAAAACAGAAGGCCACCGTTAAAGGTTGAACAAAAATACTCATGTGCGAGGCGTGCATATTAAAAAAAATCAAATACTATTATCATCCTAGGGTAAAATAAAACTGAAGGCTAATATTAAAATTCAGTTTATAGAAGATTAGTAGGGGTCTACAACATCATATACAGGTAATTTCAATGAAGATTTATGTATTTCCAAACCTCCAGCTTATGAGAAACCTATAGGAGTTTGGCAGGCCCAATAATGTTATGCATGTCAAAAACAGGACCACATAATCAGTCTACAGACTAAAGAAATAAACATTACATTGGTTGAACAGGTAGTCAAAAGTTGATATTCAGAGCATTTCATTGCTCCATCACTTTTGACTTGATCAGTAAAGCACTAGTATGCTGTATGCATGACTGCAGCTAAAGGATTCTGCACACAACTCTCAGAATGGCATGAGTGAGTTGTCAGACCAGGGCAAAATGAAATGTGAATATAAGAATATGACCAATATCACTTGACAATATTAGTTCCTGGTATTTGCCGCTAAGAATAAGCCTAATATAAGGCAAAGCAATGTTACGGTTTGCACATCTCTGGGAGAGTGAAACCATAGCATTGGCTAAAATTCATATGTTCGCATGGATGAATAGAGCAAATAGGTTGCACATGATCAGTTGATCACACAGACAAAAACAATGACTAATACAATAATACCAGTAACATGCCCCAGGCTAATTTGGTCAGGTATCCAAAGTGTGGTTTGTATGTTGATAAAAAGCTTCATGAGAAATTATTCTTTCATGAACGAAAATAAATAGTACCATATAGAAACCCTTGTATCAACTGAAGAATTAGTTAAATCATTGGGCAATGATGTGCTAAATTTTGAGCTTCCAAGAAGAATGAG